TTCTTATTTTTCCTTAGAAGTTCCAAATATAATAGGTATTTGATTTTAATATAAACATGTCACTCATACGCTGAATAGTCATTACTTCCCTCTTGGAACCCGTGAAGTCGTAACTACTTATAGAATGATGAAAATCATCAAATTAATATTATTTGGAAAACCATATTATTAACTTAAAATATTTTTTTATGTATTCTGTATTCATCTTGATACGTATAGAGCAAATTTCTTTTTTTTTTTGTGTAACATTTTAGTGACTATCATTAAATATTTTATATTAAATATTAATACTGCTTAATAGTACACTACCTACATTACTACAATAAATATTAAACACCTAGGTACCTATTGATAATAATTATTATAATTGAGTTTTTATAGATATTATTAGAATTTGAAATATTGACCAAAAAATAACATTTTTGAAAATATCTTTTTTTTTATCTAGATAAAAATGAAACTATCTTTTATCTTTATCTAGATATTTTAATTTTTTTTATCTATTATCTTTATCTAGATAAATTTGGACATATTATCTTTCATCTTTAACTAGATAAATTTTGCATTATCTATTCCCAATACTGGTGTCGTTTCACAAAATATGAACCTAAACGTGCGTTCACAAAGTTGATACCTAACTACCTAATTATCAAACTACTAAATATCCAACTATTAAAACTATCAATTGCCAGTGCACTTGTAGTATAATAATACAATTATTTAGTGATGTTAAAATATGGTATTTTTTAAATTTATTTTTATATAATACCGTATATATCAACATTATAATATCAGTATTAAACTGTATAGAAACTAGCAGTTTATTAAATTATAAGGAATTTCACAAAGGTTATAATCCCATTGTTAATAATGAAATATCAATTATTTTAAATAATTTAAAAAAATGGTTAAAAAGTTAGAAAAAATTTAAAAAACACAAAGTTTATAAATACAAAGTACAAGAATTATTTTAGGCCTAATTCATCAAATTAATATTTAGTCATGTTACCAATTTGCAATTAAAAAAGGGGTACCATACGTATGTATGTTGTACATAAAAATACATCTGTTTTAAATAGAAATAAATAGAAAATTATACTTAATACTTTTAGTTACATAATATCTCATTGAACCTATATTTATAATATTTGAACATTATACGATAAATTAATTTAAGTTATTACTAACACCTGAATGGTAAATTAACATGATTATAATAATTTTGTATATTTTTAATTTTTCAAATAACACTGTATTTTATTGTAGAACTACTAAAAAATTAATAGTTGAGTTACTAAAAATAAAGCCAACATTTTTTTTTTTTTTTTTATACCATATGTATAAAATAATTTTATACTGTGTATATTATACTTTTTATAATACAGTTTTATACCACTGTATAATACAAACTCACATTCCTACATCTATTACATTTTACAATCATCATCTAATTTTTATAATTTGTACATAAACAATTTGTACATAAAACAATAATTTGTCAATAATTTATTATTGATTTATTTCATGAAATGTTTTGACCGTATCGACAAATTTTAGACAGTGTCGCCAGATATTAGTAATTTAGAATAAAATGCACTCAATTGATTGAAAAAAAGAAATTTCTTTTAGATGCAAGAGCGTAGCTAAATGGGGAAGGGGAATGATTCCATCTTATCTATAGCTAATAAATACATTAATTTTTAATGACATTTTAAATTGACTCAATATTTAATTAAACTGTTTATAATTTTTCAAGTTTTTATTTTACAATATATATTTTTTTAATATTATGTGTATCCTATGTGTTCAAATTATCATTTACTATATAAAGACACAATTTCTTAATTTATTTTTTTAATAATACAATTTTACATGAATATTTTTACTGTATCATGATTTTCTTTTTTTTTTTTATTTACCTCGTAAATTATAATTAAAGATCATAAAATAAGATAAAAAATTTGACATGTGTAAAAATGTAAAAACACAATTAATAAATAACACTAAACGACCTTGTTTGAACGTATTTCTATCCATCATCTCGGATGCATATACCATATAAGTAGTAATAATATTATACATTACAATACATATTACGTCACGTATTTATTAAATTACATAATCACTTAACACTACCGATAACTTTTTGATAATTACATCGATAATTAATATTAATACGCAGTAGCGTCGACTTGTAATTTATTCGGTGGGGCAAAGTATAAAAATTTGTTAATACCACCACCCAAAAAGTTAGAGCAAAATAATGACAGGTTACATGATTGAATGATTATAATGATTATATTGTAAATTTAATCATTATAAAGTAACTCGCTTCGTTCGCGATTTATCACTCCAATTTCATCTATTATGTAGGTACTTTTTAGCAGTGGCATATCCAGGAGGTAGGGGGTTATAACCGACAGTTATAACAGACTATTAAGTCTATTTTAGAATATGATTGTATTTATTGTTAAATGTGTCCCTTAAAACAGCACATAATAATAATAATATAAATTATGATCGAATAAAATGCCTCATATTTTATCATAAATCAATTATCATACAGACTGAAAACGATAATTATAAATTAGGTATTAATTATTAACTATTTACCTTACTTATTGCTTAATTACTTCATAAAGGTTTTAGAAAAAAACACTTAATATCAATTTGAAGCGTATATAAACATAGGTTTAATTATTTAAATATTAAATACGTTATTAAAATTAAAGAAATGTAAAACAAAAAATATTTTATTTCATTTTTAAGCAACTATAATTTAAAAAAAATATATTTCAAAAATGTTTCACGGGATAGTTGATAATTTAAGTAACTATCTTAAAATGTTTTAAAGATGTATTCAGGGCTGGCCCAAGCGAAAATAGTGCACAAGCAAAATAAAATATTACCGCCTCTATAAAAAAAAATGAGCTCTTAATTTAACTTATCCTCTACCCCTATTTTTTATGTGAAATATCTACATAAAAAAAAATTTTAATTTTTTATTTTATGTATAAAATTATACGTAAAAAAACATAAAAATTATTTCTACAATTTAAATCTTTCTTATAAAACACTGATAGAGCTAAAAAAAAAACGAACAAGTCAATTTTGGAAATGCTGCCCTTATTAAAGTGCCGCTCTAGGCAAGTACATAGCTCATCTATACCTTGAGCCGGCCCTAGATGTATTTGCATGCTGTATAATCACTTTTAAATACTGAGAACCGAGAGGCGTTTAGCTTCATCATGTGTGTGAAATAGATATAAATGTCAATGTACGTCTGTATACTTGATATGGTATAAATCAGGGCTTCAAACCATAATGATTTTTTGTGGTTAATGGTTTTAGTTCATCTACCATATTATTCGGTTTTAAAAACTGATTAATACTAAACTTATATTTTATAATTTTTTAGAACCGGTTTTAAATGTAATAAAACCGGTTAATTTTGTAGTATATTTTTTTATAACAATTATATACCTCAAACAATTCATTATCATAATTATGAAATAATTAATTAGAAAATTCAACTATCGTGAGATATTCTTAAAATAAGTTCATAATTTATATATTTATAATATTTTTTTTTTCAGCTTCAGAGGCCGTATATTAATATACAATAAATAATATAATACACATTTTTATGTTTTTATTACAATATTGAATATACTAACATACATAATGAACAACATAATTGCAATATTTATTATAAAATAAGACAAAAAAGAAAAACCATATTAATTCAAAATGTTGAACAAATTTACAAATATTTGATACAATATAAGATAACACCATCGTCCATTAAAAGCGGTATTGTAATAATAAACAATGTGATTTCTGCTTGTCATTAATCGTGTTCACATATTATCTATAGTAGTGTGGGGTTACAACCAGTAGACCCACTTACCAACTGTTCAATTTTTATCTTGGGAATTATTTTATATTTATCTAATAATTTTTACCTGCCTTTTGTTAAACAAAACAGCTGACCAACTTAAAAAAATGTGTAAAAACTAAAATTAAATATTAATTATTTTTCGTAATTAAAAATGTAAATTTATTTCCGTTCGAGAACGAAAAATATTTTTCTGGTTAACTATTTCGTTTTAGTTTTATAAAATTAGTAATTGTGGTTCCATTTTTGTTTTCGTTCATACACATTTTTCAATAAAACCGGTTAATAAAAAAACGGTTTTAACCGATTTGAAGACCTGGCATAAAGACATGCATTGATAGGCGAATTTTTCTATCGCATCATAGTATCCTACCATCTACAGATCGACTGTCACTTAATTTGTACATTCTTAAGATTTACTAACTAGAGTGTAAATTTATCCACCAAACCCACCTAAACACTAGACACCCACCACCAAAGTTAAATGAAAGGGCGAATTGCCCCATAAAAGTAAGTGTTTATACGAACATTTGGGATGTAATATTTAAATATCAAATAATTTTCATGAGTGTTCATTTGTATGAGTTCAAAGTCGACGATGATCTCTACCCCGAGCCGATCATTTGGATCATTTACATGACCCATGTGTATTCTGATCTGCGGTACACGGTGCACCCTTTACACAGAACGATGGAAAAATTTGACTTTCAGTCGGTTTAAACAAACGGTTATTTTATGTAATTATGACGGGCACCGACCGAGTCATTTCGATACGATTGAAACATTGCGGTCGCGCCGATTCGTCGGTGTCTATATTCATCGCGTTTGAACGTTGATTTGTCCACATGTTAAGGTATGAATAAAATAAAGGAGAACAATATAGGCGGTATAGTGATCATTGCGCATTGTTATCCGACCAGATATTTTAGCATCTTTATTAATAACACGACCGAATCGCTGTAAACGATATCCGTATCGGCGTTAGATGATATACCGCCAAGATAAGATACCGGGCCCGTAATAATAATTATTAACGAGACGTTTTCCGCGAGACTAAAATATTATTATCAGCGTATTAAAACCCGTTGTTGCCTAGCTGGGATCAAGAAACGGGCATTGTCGTATCGACAGCTCCACGACGTTGTTGCATTAGGCACTTCCACGTCGTTGGTTTTCGACAATATTGTAATACGTCGCGACATTTTAACACTCTTATTCGTTCATAAGATCTATTGCAGCATTTTTTTTTTTTCATTTTTTGTCCTCTTATAATTCTACATCTAACCAAGAATCAACCGCCGTCAATTTTTTCCGGCTAAATCATTATTATTAATAAGATCGAATCGTTGTCGTTATTGTCGTTGATTTTGCTTCGATACTCATTTCAAAATGGTCAGAACCAAGAACATGGTCAACTACAATAGAGGTAACTATCTCTCCATTTGTACGATACAATAATAGAACTGAATATATTATTATCGTAAAATGTGTAGACTTTCATTTTTAAAATTAAATACCATTCACATTTTCTTATGTACCATCTGTGATGAACTTAAATTTAACATTGTAACGTGTAGAACGCATTTTTAGAGAAGAATTAACATTCAAATCTATTATAAAATCATAATAACCAATATCGAAATCGTATTGCCTAGTACGAAATAGATGTATTTTTAACAATTTAAAAATTGTTGATTTTAGCCCGTACAGAGTAATATACTTATTTCTAAAGAATTATTAAGTTTATATGAAACTCACTAGAAGTTAGAAACCCCGTGTATCTCACTTCCTCCTTGATAGACTCTAACACGCTTTAATAACGCTCTAACACGGTCAATATCTACATTTATTACTCGTATTTTCATATTTCAAAATCCGTACTAATCATACTAATCGATTTACATTTTTTTCACAGTGAATCGTACTTTTAAGCTTTAAAACATCAAAATATCTGAAAAATTAAATAATATTGCATGAAATCCTAATCCTATTTTTAATGATCTTAAGATTTAAATTAAAACATTATAAAAAAAATTAAGAACACCGCTGGAACGATAACTTAGAGAAATTAAATCTAAGATACAAGCTATAATTCTAACAAAAAATTTGTAATATTTTACACGAAAATATAATTATTAAAAATCAATGGTTGACAAATGATTCGTCATAAACTCACATTCATCAACGAAGTTATATAATTTATTTTAATCCGTTCACACGAGATTATTCTATCGATTGAATATCTGTTGATAAATCGAATTATAAAGACAGACTCTTGTATTTTACGGTGTATTTAGACTTAATAGGTTAAACCTGTTTTCATGCACATTTCCCACTAACATTATCTTTATATGCTATTGAACAAGCAAATGGATTTCGTTCCGTCGGTGAATATCGTTTACGTCGTAGCAATTATGACATTGCCCACCGACATTGCGATCTACACCGAAAATAGTTAGCGTTATCAGTTGTGAAGTTAAGAAATAATTTTCCACTGTCAGGTGAAATATGAAACGATTACTGTTTACGGGTACGCTGAGCGCATATTAAGTACAACGTTTCGTGGTTTATGCAATTAGAACGAAAACTATGTTTACAATAAGTATATTTGATGAGTTTAAATAAAAAAATATATTTAGTTTATTATATTAATGTCAATACTATTTATAAATACGCGTCTACTAGTATTGAAGAGTTGTGTTGCAATACTTATCATTATTACTCATTATAAAAATACTTATCAAATAATTATGCATCAAAAATCATAAACACATATTTGTTTTAAGTAATTCTCTCTTTTCTAACCCTTCTTATTCTTTAATTCTAAAAATCGAACATTTATACGAATGACTAATCGTTTCTACTTCATTTCGTACCTAATGCATTCGTGACGTATTGTTGTGTATACTATATCATTTGATGAAGGATAAGAATGAGATATTATTAACTGTCAGTCGAATATGAATTTAAATTAATAAATCTCATTTTACTTAGGAGCGAGTATACAGTTTGGTTGTGAATTGTATGCTTTAATTTATTATATTGCAGGAATTCGCCCAAAACTACGATTAAAATGTTCTATGCGAATGAATGATATTTTATTAATAACAGTTTAAGCTCGGATGAACTAGAAACATTCGGATGGTATACTATTCGCATACATAATTGGATATCATCATAGGCGAAACTATGGGTCAGGCCAGTAAGGCCATGGCCTGACCTAATACTAAATAAAAATATGTATATATTATATATTTTAATAATTATTTAGGCATTATAAATAATATATTTTTACATGTAAACGTAAACATTTGTACGTTTCATATAATACTATAATATAATATAGTATAGAGGTACAATTGCTACAAATAAGGATTTTAATAGAACATAATAAGTCTATTCAATGTATTCGAATAATCGGTTTTATTAGTCATTGTTTAATTTAGACATTTGACGTTTATTTTTATAATTATATTATAGGAAATAATAGTTAATTTTACGTAATAATACTTTTTATATTTTTCATTTGGCCTGACCTAATAAAAGTGTCTAGTTTCGCCTATGGATATTATTAATTTATGCGATTATGTTTATTTTATTTAGTGGTCCACGATTTAATATTACAATGTTGTTTATCAGGGGTGGCTCCAAAGCTTTGGTTAGGGAGAGGGCCAAGTTATAATTTTACAAAATCTTATACCTAACAAAAAGAAAACAACAATTTTTACAACACAAATTCAAGTAGTTTATTTTTAAAATTGGTAAAAATATCAATAATATTATGTATTTGATCTAAAATATCTAATTTATGATATACATTAATTAGACATAATGCTGATAGTTTATTTTCAGTCATCATTGAACGAAGCCAGGTTTTTAGTCTCCGAAGTGTGGAGAAACTCCTTTTAACCGTCATACCTCTATGGCTCTATCTATATACTTGCACGTGTCGTATGATAGTACATATTATAATATGCATTTTTTGTTATCAATATACATTTTTTTATGAATATGGTACGGGTTTGGGAGGGGGCCGCGGCTTCTAGCCCCCCTCCCCCCGAACCGACCCTGTCGTTAACATGTTTAAAATATTTTCTCGTTCTAATATTATGCGTTTAAGATGAATACCACTAAAATATTTTAAAATATGCTTTCATTCGTTATTTTATCTCAACTATAAAAATGTCCATTCGAATGGAAAATTATTTTGCCCTACATTTCACTGACATCTTATTGATTTGACTTTTATTTATTTTTTCTTTCATTTGACGTTTTAGCGTCAACGCATACATTTTTGAATGTTAATAATTGTGTAAACAAATCTTTGATTTTTGAATTATTTTGAATACTGAGGTAGTAAATTTTTCTTATATAAAACAAAAAAAAAAAAAAAACAAATCCATAATAAAAACAAATTAGAATATTTTTTTTTTTTTTTTAAATCTCAGAATTTAAATTTTATCAAAAGTTTAAACTTATTAAACAAAACATAGTTTTATGTTTACAGCACTTGTAGTTTTAATCTAGAAAAATTCATATTATAATAATATTAATTATATAATCTTATAATATAGGTAAATACTAATCTATTTTATAATACATTATTAAATTCTATTTATGCAGTTGATCTAAACGTTTTTATTGGTTTGCCAAAAATATTGTTTTCATAAAGGATTATAAATTATTTACTCATATGTATGATTACATATAACTTATCGCATTAACATTACTCTTGTAAATACATCTTAAATAGTATTTTAATATTGGTTATTATTAGTTCGTATATTTTTAACCACCATAATAGGTAATTTTGTCCTTGATTCAAATGATTTTGCAGTCAAATTAAATGTATTCCTAAATTCTGATTTAACTATGAAATTACCAAAAATCTCTTTTCCCTTTTTATGAGAATAACTATATTGAATTAAAATGTACTGAACATGAGTTGGTAGGCATTTTTAATGTTATGTGTGAAAAATAACTGTAAAAAGTAACTGTTACATTACCAGAGTAAATTATTATTATATTCGTCAAACTGAAAATTAATTTTAATGAAGTTATTTGCGTATTAATTATTTAAACTATTTAATCCGTTGGAATTACAATTTTAGTATAACATTTTTTCCAATTTTAGATTCTATGCGAAAAAATTAGTGCTGTGGATTTTTTTTTTTTTAATAAATTAGTATGCCATGTTATTTTATTATTTTTTCGAGTGTTTTCGAACCAATAAAGATAGAAATAAATCATACCAACATATATTTATTTTTCTTTTAAAAAATTCGTCCAAGAATATTATTTTTATTATTCAGAAAACGTATATAAATAATAAATTTCTACGATTTTTATTTTCGTCGTAAATTCTAACATTCTCTCCGGGAAATGTATGCATGAAAGTCTGAAATAATAGCTATCAAATAAGGTCAGATAATTTTAGACGAACTATTTATATACATATTTTAACTTATATATAACATTTTAATAAATGTCATTTATTTTATCAATCACAGTTACCATGGGGAAATCGGCTAAAATGGCGGCGAGTAAATCGACGTGTAGTGGCGGCAGCGGAGGTTCGTCCACAGCATCAGCTTCCTGTGCTGGGCCGTCTACTCCGGGAAAAAGTAATTATTGCATCACACAAATCTCTCTGGATGTTTTTACTATTAGAATAATTATAATTAATATTATTAAAATATTATCAATATAGTTATTATTGTTACTACTTATTTGTTTTATTTAATTTATTTATTGTTTCATTATTATTACATATTATTAACACATCTCTTGTACCTGTGATTGATATGGAATTCGTGCAGCAAGTGATCTACCATCTATAATTTTAAATTTGGTATACTTGATCTAGAATGTCATGCGTTATAGGATGGCTACAAGAGATCACGTGCTATGTATAATTACCATTTTGATTTGCACGGTTTAAAAAATTACCACGTCGTATCTTTTGCGTTACCAAACCCTCGTTGAATATTGCATTTTGCTCTCCAGACAAATACTCGGGCGGAAATCCAGTTCACCCCAGAGAGACGCCGGTTTGGCAGAAGGAGATAACGTGCTTTTTCCAATTGAAAAACGAAGTCCAACGATCGGTCGATGACGTCGACGATGACGAGCAACCGATGGATTTGGATACACCGCAACAGCCAGAATCGTCGGAAATGTAAATCGGAACTCGTTTCAATTTTTATTTTTTTACAACAACTATTTTCCTGTTCTCAAACCTATCTGTATTGGGTGTTTTTCACTACGATCCTTTGGTCGAATGCGAATATTTATGTAAACTCGTTCGGTGTTTTTTTTTCTACTGCATATTATTTTATATTTTTAAAATACTTTTTAGACGATATGTTCCTACACGTATGTGTTGTAAAATCACGTTCGTGTTTGGGATATATGTAAATATTAGTATAGCATATGAATTATAATATATATTTCCTTAAGGCAAAATAAAATACGAATTTCATAAGTTGTATGGTATTTTTTTTATAATAATAATATGTCTATGTGCGTACATTAATCGATATAAGATATGTGTGGTAAATTATATTTTTAATAGAATTTTAAAATTGAAAAAGTTCAAAATGATGTTGAACAGACTTCTTGGATGGTATTAGTTAATGTACACAGATTAAATTTCGTGATTTTTGAATTATTTTATTTTTTATTTTAAATACATTTATCCGTTCAAATGAAACGACTTGTTAGGATCAACCATTTATGCACGGAACTGAAATGATTTGTTTCTAGTTGTATTCACATGAAGGGCGTTAAAGGGTGCGAAGGGGGCATTCGCTCCCCCCATGGCTCGTATTTTTTTTTGAATACAATACATTGATTTATTTAAAAAATGTTATGTATAAATAATTAAGAATATGAATTACTATCACTATAATATGATAATAAATTAGATAATATAGTATTTTAATAAATATCAATTATTGTTCATAAGATATTAATGTATCCATTGATGAAATAATCAACAAATTAGCCAAAACAAAAAAAAGAAATTTGGAATTTGTTATTTGACTGCTTACCAACCTTATGTTTTCTACTTAGATATTTGTTAAATTAAGTTACCTATCTTAATTGTTTTTTTTTTAATTTTTAAAAAATAATTAATAGGTACTATTACTACTATGATTTTTTTTTTTTTTTTTTTATACATGATTTAGACTGAAGATACGATTTTAATATAGGAACTACTTGTGTTGTTGTTATTAATAGGTATTTATTTTATATGCAGTAGGTTTTAAATATATTTATTAAATACATATTTAATTCAATTTGGTACTTGTATTTTTATTTATTTACTCGAATGAGCAAAATAAATTTGAGTTGTAGGTAATGAACTGTAAATTATTTTTAAGTTTGTATAGAAGAAAAATTAGTTTTGCCACCCCCCCCCCTAGCCACAACACAAATACGCCCTTGTTTCGCATTAAAACCTTTCTGAAAATAAATATTTGGTTACCCGTAATGCAAGCGATCAGTCGTGTAAAAATCACTAGTGCATTAATTCGACACGAAATACTTGAAATTAACTTGTGAAACAACACTACGCTCATAATCGCGAAAATATAATTATCATAAATCAAATTTACAATATACATATATATATATATATATATATATATATATATATATTTTTTTTATCTCGAGTTGTTGCGAGTACCACCCATAAGTGGTACACATTAAAATGTAAACATTTTCATAGACATTGGGAGGACCGTAACAAATGTAGTCACTCGGGTGTCCGACGCCTGTCGTTACGGCTTCGAATTATAATACGTGTATCGATTGGCGTACGGTCATAAATCTGCCGTTCGTTTTTTTTTTTTTTTTGTTGCGTATTTCTATCTATTTTCTTTGTATTCGGTAAACGTCCGCCGTCGAATCGGTTACCTTTTTACGTTACGATGTCGATTGAAATAAACGGACTACCGCAATGTATTGTTTCGATATAATCCGTAGTTAAACTAGTGTATTTAGTGAAAAAAAAAAAAAAACGTCAGCTCGTGTTGTGCATTTATCGGTTGGTAGTCATACGGTACTTACGGCGCGATCTGTCGGCGGATAGGAACGCAACTTATTGGTCTACGGTACTGTCGGAGAGTGCTCTGTCCGTTGGTGCGGCCAGATACATTTTTCAGAACATCGGAACACCTACCGCAATGATGAAATTGAGCGTTGCCTGTACAAGGGTGGCTACCAACGCTACGGTCGTTTTCGTTTTCGTTTTTTTTTTTTGCCAGCAAAATACTTTGAGCGTAAGTTTTTTTTGTTCTGCGCTTCTTAAGCCGCGTCTAGACCAAGAAACATTTGTCACAAACATGTGTTATCGAAAATGTTGTCGGCAAAAATAAGAACTATTTCTAAAATTTGACACCGACAATCGTGTCGGCGACATTGTTATCGACAAATTTTTGTTTTCCATCCGAGGTGGAAAAAATTCGACAAAGTTTATAAACATTGTCGCTGACAATGAATTGACACGTCCAGACCAGTCAATTTATGTCGATAAACATTTAGTAAATGCATCATATTTTATTTATATATTTGGTTTTCGTTCAGTTTTGCCTCGTCCGCCTGTACGTAGTGCATATTTTTATTTTATTTTATTATTATTTTTACTCTTATATATTATATTAAATTCTCCAGACAGATCAATGTCATCACGTTTGAGATCAGTCATTAAATCATTACCACTATATTTCTGCTTTGCTAAGAAACTAGGACGAACACAATATCTCATTTTGGAAGCCTTTTCTGCTTCTAAACTAAAAATTACACAAGCACATGCGGCAATCGCCACGTAATTCTCGTTCCACATTTTTTCCAAGATTAAAATGTTTATCAAATATGTTGCTTTGGTGTGGACGCGCTTGTTTTTAAATTTTTCCGGTGACATTTCAAGAAACATTTTGTCACCGACATTGGATACAAAGTCGGCGACAAATGTTTCTCGGTCTGGACGCGACAAAAAGTAAATAGTCATATCCTCTTCTATGTCCATTTCGGCCGAAAACACGGTTTTTAATGTAATACAATTTACGATTTGTATTGATCGACAGCGGTTGAGCGACTGACGGACTCGACGAGTGGCTGCTACACTAGTTGCTCAATCTGGTTGCTCAACTGACTGGCTGCCTAGTGCATCACGGCCTTAACGGTTCGGTTTGGACAGCCGAACGTTATATTCCGCATCGCAGTCGACCGGCGGGTTCCAACAAGCAGCAAAGTCCGTTCATTCCACAGACGATTTCAACGGGCTCCTTTTGAGGGTCGGCAGTTCAACGGTTGTAAGAGTCGGTGGTCGATAAAAAAATAAAATAAAATCGTGCAAGTGGTTGTTGTTCCGTTTGCGTTTTCGACGCGCTACGCACTGCAGAAGTGCATATCGTAATTCGACGGACGGCATGCACCGAAACCGTTGGGACGGCCGGTATTAAAATTTATCGAATTCGTTTCAGTCCCACGTTGACGAGCGGTCGCTAAGTTCGTATCCACCGCCAACTGATCGATGCGTGTCCCTGACGTCCATTATTTTATTATATTGTAAAAATATCCCCCAATCCGGTGCATTGGGTTTCGTTTTTTATACTTTTTTTTTTATTATTTTTTTTTTATTCGTTTCGCAATAACCTCGTTAGCAGTTGCGTTTGTGCTCCGATGGGAAATCGAAATCCCTATCACTGACGGAGGTGGCCCTTTACCCGGGTAGGTACGCATTACGTATTAATATCGTATAGTTATCATAATACGATAATTGGACTGCTGCGTTTATCGACCGGGACGAGCTGGTTTTTGATTGATGTTATTTTTTTTACCTCCCTTACACCACCCACCCACCCGTCCAAAGATAAATGTTTTGCGATATGGTTGCCTCTGATTGTCTTTGGATTCGCGAATAGGTCGTTCGTCGTACGATCAACTCTCTGGTAAGATACATCATACAACAAATCTTACATCACTATACTCGAACTGTGTGATTCGATGCTAATTAATAAAAAGATATTTCCAATTTATCAAAGTATCACTGGGAGAAATAATTTGATTGTGTTTCTAGCAAACCGATTATTGAAATAAAAAAGACTAAAAGAAAACCTTCTATGTTTAAAGTTTGGCCGTAGAAAGTTAAGTTTCGAAAATATAATTGATACATTTTAATATAAAACTATAAAGTTTTACTTATATGCGATAGCTTTGTTTGAATTCTTGGAAGAATAATACAATAAGTAATACGATGCATTGATCAAAAGTTTTTCGCTTCTATGTAGAAATAGTTTTTTGTCACTCGATGCAATATATAAGTTCATCGAAAATTAATAAGATTATCATATTAAGACCTATGCTTTTTATTAATTACTGAATATTTTATCAAAATTTAAAATTCGCGGTACATTACAACCTAATTTTCGAATTTTATTATTTATCATTTGATTAGTTAGGTAACTATTCTAATTTATAGTCGGTTGTTAAACATAATTATTCCAAAAAGGTATGTAATAAAGTTCTCCGTTTCTACCATTACGACCGTAATTATTATGTAAAAGGTCCGTATACATTACTGTACAATTTAGAGATCAACTTCGAGATGCGATCACGCGGGATATATAGTTAAAACATGTTTAAAATTATCTCGTTGTCAAAAATGAAACTCGTAATCGTAAGATTTGCGAAATAAAATTATGCTCTAATTCAACCAACGGTGAACATAATATTGTGATTATTAAATCAATTGTTTGTTGAATTCAAATTTGAAAAATATTGTCAATGACAATTTAAAGCGATTAGAATTATTGTTTTGGCTCTCTAGTGTTATTGAATTTGACTATAGCGGCTTATACACGGTACAATTAATCGTACGACAGACTGTACAACTTTGTTTGATACGATCTCACTAACAATAATCGTAATGTGTATGGTATTGTTGTACAACGTATAGTACGACAAGATGAAGTATGAACTGATTAATAGTAACTTGTGTGGACCGACGTACAATTGAATATGTTTGATCGATTTAATTGCGAGTATATTTTTATATCATATGTTCTTTTTAATCACCAAGCACATGTGAATTATAATTGATAAGAATTGAAAACTGAATTTGTTGTTATTTCATTATAATATAAAATATTGTTTTTTGTATTAAATACAATAATATTGTATTTGTTAGTTGTCATTGTTTTTATTTATTGTTAAGTCATTTTGTCTTCTTTTCGTCACTATTGAACAACAACGCAACCAAAACACTAGCTCTGGGGATTTTTAAAAAAATTATATGTTGGTAAGAAAACATATTTTCCAAGAGCTTGGTAAATATACAACACCTATTAATGTAATTTAAATACCTATTAAAATGTGATATATTGTTATATTCAGAAAAAGTTTCTAATTGTAAATTTGTATATTTTGTATTACGTTTTACCTCTAATAAAGCATGATGTATCATAAATAATACAGGAAATTAAAAATTCTT